CCTTCATGAAGGAACCATAAATAATAAGTACTGGAAAGCAATGTTTCCAGCCATCAATCCATGGCTTTAATGACATGAAAAGCACTGAAAACGAGAATCATCACCAATAATAAGTGAGATCATTGAACCTGGATTCTTTTGGTCCAGAACATACGCAAGCGATGGCATAAGCTGGTAAGACTCCTCATCTGAACCCATTAGTTTCCGTTGAGCCTTTAGGTTTGCACTCCATGCTTTTTTGTAAGGAACAATTATACCATAATCTCTTTTCATGTCAACTATTATGTCATTAGGAGTGTATGGCTTTCTTGATGCATCTGCATATCGGTGCTTTATGAGTTCTGCAATAACGTCATATGTGGCTTGACGATGACTACTTTGTCTAAAATCAATGGAGCAGGAATGTTCAGAATCAAACCTTAAAACACATAAGAACAGATAGTAAACAGAAATTAAATAGCCATTAAACGTGTACAAGAAGACATTAAATGTAAAAAACCAAATACATGAAATTCAGAATACATGCAACTTCTAAAATAAAAACAAGTACCTTTTAATTTGGAACATACGACTCCCAGAAAGCATCACTCCACAAACAGCCTACTTGCAGTCTTTTTCATCAACACAAATAACATGCAAAACTTTGGGTTTTGACGTCTTTGTCTTATATTGAAAATGATTTGTAATTGCATACATCTTTAAATGGAAATCCAAAGCTTTTTTTAGTCTTATATATAGCTTCTTTGGCTATATGAGTAGGATGGAAGTGAGAAAGAACATCTAATTCAGGAATAACACACAAAGAATCTGCATGGGAATCAAAACTAACATGTTAAATAGAAGAAGAAAACGTTGAAAAACTGTTGCTAATGTCTTGTGAATTTGCATGGGAATAGGATTGAATGTCTTCTGAGTTCATCAAAAGAGTTGGTTGCTGCACTTGTTCATTCGTGGAATCAACATTACGTTCAGGGGAATAGGAATGAATGTTTACTGAGTTAACCAAATCATTACGTTCGTACACTGGTTCATCCATGATAGAAACATTAAGATCAATTGGAATAAAAGTGACAGCCTTATCTTTTTGCTGAAAAGTCATCAACGCTGAACTCTTTTCGGGAGATATATTGAGATCAATTGCAGAATACTCGGGACAGGTATGATTATTGATGCAACCAGAGACACTAAATAACTCAACACACAAAGGAAATATAGCATAGTCCGAGTGAATTGTTTTCAAATCCAAGTAAAATTCCAGACTACAAGGATCACTAACAACCAAAGAAGGTGGACATGAATCAACGAGGTAAGATATCTTAATCCTTGTATTGTAGACAGATTCACCAATGCATGCATAAACCAGGGAAGTAAACTGCTCATACGATGCCCCGTCAGGTAGTATTAACCCAAAGCTTCGTTTGTTAGAGAAACAATTCGAGTTGTCCCAAGTACCATCAACTTTAAGCATAAGCAACATGATTACAGCAACTGTAGTAACATGTAAAAAGTAAGCAACAATGAAATGCAATAACAGATGACTATAAGAAACTTTATGTCTGCATAACAACAAAATCAATGTTAAGTATGATATAAAAAAAGTATACAAAAAAGAAACAATATATAAGTACAAAAGGCATAAATTTATAGACTTAAATGGTGAAAAAATTCATTATAACAGCAAAATCAGATTACATATGATAAAACAGAAAAACAAAGACATTAAACATGAACACAAACTCTGCAGATTAAACATGCAGATTAACAAAACTCTGCAGATTAAGCAGACAACATATGAACAACAATAGCATGATCATTAACATTCAGATTAATATCACAAACAACACGATCACAAATATTACAAGCAGCAAAAACATAAATCTACGTTGCAAACTAAAATCAGAGAAGAGAAACGCTTAAAATTGCAATTGCAAGTTCATAATGACCCTTGAAGCTTCAACTTACACAAACTGACAGAGATTACATAAACGAAACTCGTTCATACATCAAAAAAGCAAGTTCACGTACAAAATCATAAATTAAGTCACTAATAATTCTTACCAAAAAGGTGCAGAGAAGTTTTGGAGCTTATGAGCGCTGAAGAACGACTATATTGAAGCCGAAGTTATGAAACAATTAAAGTGAGGGCAAAAAAGGAAATTAAAATTCAAGTTTCCTAAAAGGGAACTAAATAGGGCACACAGTTGGAAATAAAACAAGGAGGTCCCAAATTTAGAAAGGAGCTATGATTTGGTCCTACGAACTGCAAATTTCTCTACACCGAACAGTACTGTTTGGTTACATATATGTACATATATATAATTCTATTGTTATAAATACCAAACTTTTAGTATTTAACCTACATTTATCTAATTTTTATTAGTAATCTTAGCTTCTATTTATTGTTAATTTTGGTCTAACTAAAATTGCTAGACTACATGTAGTTCGTATGAACTAGTAACTACTAAGAAGATACATAATTTACAATTTAGTTTATTTGTTTGTTTTAATTTTGAATTTTAGCAGATAAACTTGTAAGAATTTAGTTATTATGCATTTTGTTTCAATTTAGTGTTGAACTTAATATAGTTATGTTATACATTTTGTTATCATTATAATCTTTTTGTATTAATTAAAACTCATATTTAGAGGTATTTAAATGTTTGGATTCGTTTCAACATAGTGTGCATAGTATGGTATGTATGCCACTATGCCCTATATATATACAGAAAAGAGAGATGAATATTCTTATACAACCAGACTGACTTAAAGTGTCATACGGCCAAGCTCGTGAAGGTGCTTCCAGGTGGATTTTTTTTTAAATTTTGCAAGCATGTTTTTCATGAGTTTTGTAATTCAAGCCTAAAGACAGAGTTTGAGAAGCTTAAAAATAGAGTCTTTAACCAATGAATCTTCTCAAGATCAAAATCAATTGCAGGTGAAAACTTTAAAAAAGTGAATAAAATTGTCATCAAAAGTTTTGCAAGGATTTGCTTTCAATAAGAATTCCGAAACCGGGAGGTTCAGGATTATTGGGGATTCATAGGTGAATGATAATAAGTACTTAAAACTTGGTCATCAACATATATCATTCTTGGCCTCCCTGTAGGCCTTAGTAACAAACTCTCACAGTTTTTTAGAGATATTGTTGCACTTTTTTTTGTGGGTGTCCCTTCAACATATACACACTGTAATGCATTTCCATTCCATGTTTAGTTAGCTTCCCAAACTTTTTAGGATCTTCGTAAGGACATTTTTCTTTTTTTAGAATTGTGAGGAGCTTTTTTTTAGGAGTTGTTATGAGGTAAAATTCCTGTTGTTGGCAATCTTTCACCCTCTAGTGGATTTCACACTATAACTCTTCTTTCGTGAAATAATATGCAAAATATTGCATAACACAATATGAGATACTTGAAGGATTTTTTTCTTTTTTTTTTATATATTTTTATCCTTATTATAAATATTACTTTATCCTTTTTATTTTATCTTTTTATATGTATATTCATCTCTTTTATATTATCTTTTTTTATAATAGCTTATCTTTTTTATCTTTATTTTCTTTCTTTTCCTTTTGGTGATATCATGTATCGATTCATGTTAGCTGACCCCAATATCGTTTGGGACTAAGGCTTGGATGTTGTTGTTGGGCATGTTTTCTTGTTTTAGTCTAACCACTAGTAATTAATTGATTCCACTTTTTACTTTTCTAGTTTAAAAACTATCTTATAGGTATTTGATTATCAAATGCTTTCATCCACGATCTTTTCACCACTAGTATTTCCATTTTATGGTAGCTGCCCTTCCAGTTCCATTTTCTCTCCTTTCTACCTTCAGCCCACTCTTTATCAATTATCACTTGTATCACTTTTTTGTCCATGGAATGGCTCCAAATAAGAATGCTCATATATGGCCTTCTAAGTTCTCAAAAAACGTAAGTTATTTTTCTCCTTGTGACTTTGTGAGTTGTCAAGGCCTCAAGGGGGTTCGAACGGGGTATTTGATTTGGATATTACATTCACTTCCATCATTCTTATACATCGTTTCAGTATGAAACATTCATCTCATTTGGAGCACATTAACCAAATCAGTGGATTCAGTACCATACTTCTTCGATAGTCTTACACACCGCTGAGTAATCATAATTCATAAGAATCATCCTAGAAAATAAGAATGGCAGACAACCGCGATGTTGTATTTTAATACCACAACCGTACCAATTATGGGTACAGTTAGGGCAGACTCAGTTCAAACCAGCTCCCAGATTCTGAAATGGAGAAACCACAACTGAAACTTGCTGGGACAAATTCCCCACTTATAGCTTGGGAAAGTTGTCAAATAAGTGCTCGAATTTTCATAAAAAGGTCAAATAAGTCCTTGTACAGAAGACTTTGTCCGGCCGTCGCGATTTGTGGCGGTTCCCGGGGGAATTTTTTGATGAAATTTTTTTAGCATCTTATTCATTAAGTCTAGTTTACTCATACCAAATTTCAGCTAAAACTTCAATCGGGAACGCATTCAATATAACTCTTGAAGATAACTATGCAGTTAAATGCGCAGTTATCTTCAAGAATTAATTTGAATGCGTTCCCGATTGAAGTTTTAGCTGAAATTTGGTATGAGTAAACTAGACTTGATGAATAAAATGCTCAAAAAAATTTATCAAAAAATTCCACCGAGAACCGTCCCAAATCGCGACGGCCGGACAGAGCCTCCTATATAAGAACTTATTTGACCTTTTTATGAAAGTTTGAGAACCTATTTGACAGTTTTCCCCTTATAACTTAGTTCTTGTGGAATTTCTTGTTCTTTTATTTATTACTATTTTTTATAATCCTGAACCTCACCAACCCCATGATGGTTATTTGTTGCTTGTTGAGCAAATAGTTATACTTAGAAGTTAGAACTAACCAATGGAAGCAAAGCCAAAACAGTAGACTCCAGTAACATATATCATACCCTTTTACAGTTTTTGAATAGTTTTTGAAAATTAGCAATGCTACATTGTTGGACTCTACATTCACTTGAACAGGTTTTGAAAATTACTATACCAGATGGATGAACAGTTTTTGAAAATTGTATGCAGTCATTTGAACTAGAATCAAGAATGTTTTATTAATTATTTATGTTGTACAATACTACATTGTTGGACTCTACATTCACTTTGCAGTAACGAATTGATGTAATATGATAGGCCCTACTTAAACTCTAAGCTTTAAAAAATTCATTGACCTGCACCTAATAACCTTTCCCTCTGAACCTCCTCTCTGCCTTTCTTCTTCTCTATCAGTTTCTCCTCCTCATCTTTTAGGTGTGATAGGAGAAGAAGAAACCCAAATAAAAAGAATCCGCCAGATGTGTTTCCTCCGCCACCTCCCCCTCCGCCACCTCCGCCATGCCGTGGTGGAATGCTGGGCCCGCTGTCATCAAGTCTTGGTGTGGACAGAACTCCCTTATCTGTGTTCAATTCAATAATTACCCTCCATAATTATAACTACAAATAATCACAATTAACGAAAATAGAACTAAATTAAAATGGAAATAAATACTAAAAACAGATCCATTACCACAAGGATTTCAAGATGAGGAGTCCTTCTTGTACACATTCTTTGTACACATTTGTTGTACACACTACCTAGTTGCTTGTGTACACAGGAGCTTCTAATGAGCTGCTTGTATGCAGAGGCAACTAGGGGGTGTGTACAACAAATGTGTAAAAAATATGTGTACAAATGACTTTTTCCTTAAAAGATATGCTTTATACAAGCAAGAACAGACTGAACAGTATGCAAACCAATATCAAACTACTTAAAAAAGGTAATGATTGACAAAGGAAGTACCGAATTGAGGAGCAACATTTGTTGTTTTGTGGTTTTCGGTGCGGGGAAGTGTTTGTGCACTTGAACAAGTCCAACCCTAAAATAAATTTACGCATCATATTCAAGACTTTGACATTATGGCATTGCTAATTCATTCATATATTAGCACTACATGAATATATTACTACTATATTTGCGTGATATGCCAAGAACACAATAATATACAGATGAAAACGAACTGATGATAAGGTGCAAATAATACCATAACTTGTGATAGATACTGAGTGTCATAGTACCCATTTGGGATGGATTTATCACTACACAAATTTTTCAAATAAGTACTCACTCAAAAACACATTTTCTATTGGTGCTTTTTTAGTAGAATTAAAGTTTATTAACAGTATAAAGATGTTTTCTTTTGGACTGCTTTTAGTCCCAGACCAGACCAGATTTGAACAGTTATATAATACACAGAGACCAGACATTTACCAAACCAAACTTAAACAGACCAGACCAGTTCAAAAGAAAGCATCCTAAAAGTTAAAAATTAATGATTTCCAATTTAGCAAAAAACAACTTGAACCACTTCTATTCGCAACAACATATTGCTATAAAAAAATGTGTTCCTGCAAGTTTCAATAGTCATCCAATCAGGCTCTTACTATGTAATTCAACTTACAGATGCGGCTGCACAGATGAAAGAGGAGGATTGTGGTCTATCAAATTGTTTGATAGACCTTATTGCCCCAAAAGGTTGATGCTTTGTTGACAGATGAATTTTTGTACAGTCAGATTTCAGGGGAAACTTCAACGGGTTCCAATTCTTAGGCTCCTGATGGCGGTTGTTATTTATCAGCACAACCGAAGTACGAGTTTTAGCTGTGAAAGAAATTGTAACCTATGTGAGAAAAACTTTTTAATAGAGCTTAATTGATAAACCAATTGAGGTAATACCACTACCAACTAAACAATATCACTATTTCATATAAACTTAATGCTCAATTGGGGACTGCACTTTCTGCCTAATCACTTTTCACAATGATTTGGCTGAATGGGCTACTTATAAAAAGTACTCCAGTGTATGAATAACTTTTGTTTGATGAAATGAACAAATCAGGTGATATGATATGAAACAATAATTCAAAAAACATCTTGCAGATAAGATATTGATAAGCATTGTGATTACCAGTAGTTTATCCATACCTGGAGCTGTTTCCAAATTAGACGCGAGCATAAATCCAGTTGCAGTAGCCAATGTTGCAATCTTAGTCAAAGGAGATGATACCCCAATATATTGATCACAGGCTATCAGTACCATGACTGCAAAATCTGAGAAATTAACTTTAGCTCAACTCCAGTAACTATTTAAAAAGAACATGTCAATTGATTAATCTATTACTACCCCTGTCCCGACTAAAGGTTTTCATTGCAAAATGACACGGTTATTTAGAGTATAATTAAATAAGGTAATTCAAGTATATTTTGAAAAATAATTTTGATGGGTATATAATATAATATAATATAATATAATGTAGTCATTGATATACTCCTTCGTCCCTTATAATTTTAACAAAATTAACTAATTGGAATAATGAAATAAAAAAAAGTGGGATAGGTGTTTGTAAAAAGAGAGAAAATCTCCTTAATTTAGAAAATTATTCATCGTTTAAGTGAAAGAACAGATAAAGAACGAAACTCAACAACACCCTCAATTCACCCTCTATTCACAGCTAAGAAGATATAAAAAGATATGTAAGAACAAAGAAAAAGTGATGCCATAAAATAAGAAGACAGTTCGTAATAATCGACTAACCTCAGCGTATTAGACGAATGGCGTCCGATATCAGGGGAATGGGAAGAGGTGATGAAACGGAGAGAGCAATATAGCGTTCGACCGTCTGGGGGCTGGGAGACGAGCGGAGAGATGGTAGATCGCATGGCGGAAGTGGGCTTTGGTTATTCTCAAATCTTGGGCATGTGATTTTCTAATTGGGCTGGATCAAACACTATGGGACAATAATCATTTGATTTGGGAGACTTAAAATTACATTTTTAATACTCATTGATAACATCGAAATATATGAAATTCTACCTAAATTGGTCCACTTCTCTAATTTACTTATTTGTAAATATATTACGGAGTATATTGTAAAAAATTTAATGATGAATAAAGTAAAAATCTTATAAAAAACGGTTACAATGATCTTTTACCCTGACTTCAGTTAATTCAATCACAAAAGTAACTACAAAGTCATTTATGTTGATTATTATGTTGTATATAATTTAGATCAAAATTAAAAGTTATGTATTTGATAAATAAAATGACTGATAAGGATGATAAGCTGAAAATAGTACTTACCAAAGAGGCTCTTAATAGATTGTTGGGTTAATAGGCAGGCCCGATAGCAGATCAGCCCATTACCCTTAACCAAAGAAACCATCAAGGGCCAATCTGGGCACGGTCCATATTGAGTACCGGTCAGACGCGTGTCTGAACCCTGAAGACGTAAAGCCACATTGGACTTGGCCCATTAAGGATGTTTTTACTTGGACTGTAATTTGCCCCAGACCAGACCAGACCAGTCCAGACCAGACCAGACCAGACCAGACTTGGATAGTTATAAAAATACAAAGAAACCAGACCTTACCAGACCAGACCAAACCAGACCAGTTCAGACCATACCAGACCAGATCAGACCAGATCAGACCAGACCGGCAAATTACAGTCCAAGTAAAAACATCCTAAGAATGGGATGATGAACCATGATCTTCAGCTAGACGGTTCACATAAGTGAGTGGGGCACCGCCCTTGCACTCATTTGAATCCAGTATCCAAAATAGGGGGATGCTCATCCAGTGTCCTTGGCGAGAAACCAAGATATTGGCAGGAAGCGCATTTAATGCAGTAGATTTGGTGATTGGAAAGTTAGCATCATCGGCATCACCTACCCCTTGGTAGTATAAATAGTAGCATTTATTTCATTAGAACGGGTTGACAACTTATACGTAGTATTCTATATCAATAACAATTATCTCCTCTCCTCTTAGCTAAGATAGACGAACAGCTTTTGGGCTTGTAGTAAAGTGTGTTGGTAAGAACTCTTAATGTTATTGAATAAGATGTGGCCTACGATGTGGCCTACTTACTACTCTTGTAACTTATTCATCCTTCACTTGCTTGCATCATATAATCTGCTAAACTTTCCACTCGAAATCAAAAGGAAGGTGTTGGACCTTTGGAGTTGAAAAGCAAATGTTAAAGTTAGTAATAAATTTTTAAAACTAAAATATTTTTAAATCTCATGAATTAATCCAAATTTAAACTACGTGCAAAATAACTGTCATTTCTTACATTAGCCTGTGTTTACCAAAAATGTTGTATCATATGTATTCATTTATTTGAATTAAAAAAAGTTCATTGAATTTCAATGTTGTTTAGAAGAATTGAAATACGTGAAAGCAAAATGTGCAACGTTGAAAAAAGATTTAAAGACTCTGCTACCTTGTGCACAATTGAAGATGAATATTGATTAATACGGTGATGTATACTTTCCCACTGCTACTAATCCACACATACTCTAAGTATTAATAGTTAAATTACATATGATGTGGATTGAAATTATTTGTATCGTTTAATCGACACAAACATCACATTCAATTTGCAAGACACTTGTAAAGTACAAATACAACTCTTAAAAATGTTATGAATTGGTTATAACATAAAGGCTTATAAGCGTTACTAACTCATAACTCTCTGAGTGTGTTCTGCCTCCCTTCTCCTAATCCTACTATTTCAGATGTCACTTTCTGGAGGAAGCGGTCCAGCTTAGTTGCTCGCCGACTCACTGTCTCATATGGGAGGTCTCGGGTTCGAAACTCCATGGAGGGAGTTTCAACATTGTTTATCTCAGGTCTCAAGTATTATACTTTTATTTGAAAAATTGATTACTTTTCTTAATTTGAATATGGGACATCCATCTCACAAATGTCAACATTGTGAAATTGTTTTTTAGTATGATGAAAGATTAAAGTTGTTTCGAAGTACTAATAGGATATCTGTGTTAAGATGGTGTGGTGTGTCCAACGACTGGTATAGATGAAGCAATTTAATTTCAAAGAATAAAGAACGTACGTGCTAAAGAATGTATGTGCTTGGATCACTCAACGTATTTTTACATAAAGTGGTGATAAAAGATGTCCCTAGTTGGCCATGAGAAATGACAGTACGGGAAGCAGTTAGGAGTGCGATCTATCTATCCTTCGATGAATCATTGACGGGGCAAAGATTGTTACCCTCTTTATGCAGAAAAAGAAGCATGTAATATCTTTTATGGTTAGCGTTTGGAGGCACATCGCTAGTAAATAGTAAGGAAAACAACTCATTCTTGAGGGTCTAAATACAAGCTGACAGATAGAGATTGAGACTCTGATTCTGGTATTTGCAGAGGTCTTATACATTTTTACATAGTAACATCTCATCACAGTTGTCGGGATTCGAAGACGAGACTTATCCCTTGTGGCACACTGACACGATCTATCGACCAGTTGAGCTATGCCCACCGTCGAGGCACAATGCTAGCCGCTAGATGGGGAGGTAAATGAAATTTAAACATTAGCGAGATAGACTAAATAGGGTAAATGAAATAAATGACACTAAAAATTTGAAAAAATTAAAGTAGCGTAACTTCAACTTAGCTCTAACGGATCCTTCCCTGTCTTTCACAAAATGTATGCTACTCTCTCTACATTACCAACCAAAAATGTCCACTCAATTTCCTTACTTGGAGTTAAAGTTTACGGAGTACAATAGAACAAATAGAATAAGCCGTTCAAAGACATAAGTCGCAAAAGCCCCACCGGACTACCACACTTTCATTTCATTTAACTTGATAGAGCGTGTAAATAATACAATTGTCTTATATATACACCTAAAATATAAGACACCGGACTACCATCACGGCTAACCGCAACCCTCTCCGTCAATAAATCAAATCTCTTATCTTTTTATACGTATTAAATCAATCAATTCAATTCTTTCTCGCAACCCAACACCGTCAATATATTCATTCAGCAAATTTTTCTTAACTAAACCATTTCTTTTATTATTACACATCAAGTTTTCGCAAAACAATTTTTTTCCGAATAATTATAATTAAAAAAGTCATACATTGCGATGTAAAAATAAATAAATTTGGAGTTTAATTTTTTATTGTTCCTTCGGAATTATTTCTTAAAAAAATAATTGAAATATGTAAACACAACATTTTACTATGTGACATTAATTTTAGAACTTATATCTGCTTAAGAAAAAATTTAGGCCTAAAAATCTCTCCATCAGATAAAACTTCATATTTTTTAAGAAACCTTATATGTGACATACCGATGTCATATCAAGGTCATAAAAAATTATGAATTCTAATATATTTTCTATAAAAATTGGATTTCAAATAAAAAAGTTACACCATTTTTTACAAAATTGGGATTTAAATTTAATGTGGACCCCTCACATTTTCCTAACCTGCGGCTAGCTCCTCCCCCTCTCTCTTGGGGTGATCCACCCCCTAATTCCCCTCCCAAAAGTTCTCCCAATCCACGACAGCTCCTCACTGTGCTTTTTTTTGTTTGAGTTGCACCACTTTTGGAGTGAAAACATCAAATATGGGGTTTTCACCCCCTTCCATTGCGGGTACGGGTAGCCTCAGAAGTTAGAAACTCATACTACCTCCGTCCCTAATTGTTGTTCCAAAATAAAGTGGCACACAGATTAAGAAAGTGAGAATTGTGTGGTGGAGAGTTGTGCAGAGGAGAGAGAAATGTTGTGAACCACAAATTCTTTGTCAAAAAGGGAAAGTGAACTTCTTTTTGGGACATCCCAAAAAGGAAATTTGGAACAACAATCCGGGACAGAGGGAGAATACAACAACCAGTTCTATCTATATAAAAATAATATTCCATACAAACATATTTTCAGACACACAAAAATGCTGACGGGTTATGGTCGTGGGTGAATTTCAATTTCAAAGTTTTTTGTTTTTTGCTAAAATTTCAATTTCAAAGTTAGAATATAGTTGGTCTATGACTAATAATTGACAATATCATTTCCACTCTATAAACAAAAAAAATAGGAACTGATGTCGACGACCAGTTGAATATTTTATCAAAAACTTGTTCGTGCATTTTATTGTAAAGATTAAAATCAGTTGGCTATCAAATTATATTTTTTATTTCGCAAAAAAAATTATTTTTTTTAATTTGAATTAATTTTAGCATATAAACTTGTTCATTTCCAACTTCCAAGTATAGAAACTCATTAGATACTTTGATTACTGTTTTAAAATAAAACTAGAGGTCATTCTCGTTAAATGATCAAGGGACATTTTTTACTTCATCAAATCATATGGTTGTCAAACACAGAGAACTGCTTCATAGACAAATTTACTTCCAAATGCAAACAAAAGACTACTCTCTTATTTCACTATCATTATCTCATAATACGTCTGATAATATTTGTGTGATTATACATCTTTCTTACTTTATAAATTTAATATTAACCATTCAAATTCACTTTTCTTAATAACTACATCACCTTCTCACGTACTCCGTATCGAATAAGGGGAAGGAATGAACATTAGATAACAGTTAGTAATATACAGAGTTTTATTTTGTAAAATACAGAGTATCTATTTTTAAACTAACCTACTTGAGATACGAAAAAGAAAAAAAAGATAATACCCTCTTTGGTCCTGGTCCATGTCAATCAAGTAGCCCAACAATACTTATGCAGAGAATGAGGTGGCTCAAGAGAAAGTTGGATCCTCACATGAAGGCATTCAACCCTCTATAAATGAGAAAATGGTGTATGGAGTGGCACTAATGCTTCTTAGCACTAATCCGCCTATTTGAGAAGCTCAAATACCAGAGTTAAAAAGTCCTACTAAAGCATTGCAAAAGAAAGTTGAAAAAACAC